AACAGAAACTACCAACTGCTAAAATATGAGTAAAATATATTCATATATAAGAATTATACAAGGGTTTTATGAAGAACTGGGTAAACTTGATTCCTTGAACAAGAAGGTTTAAATTGCATTCAAAAAATTTAAAATAAATAAATAAACAAGAAAAACCTCAGAAAATAATCTAAAGTTTCATTAAATAGTTATATGTATACACAGAGAGAGAGAGAGAGAGAGAGAGAGACCTGGTATCTAAGCTCTGCTGGCACCTAATGAGAAGAAGAAAAGATAAGGCAAGAAGAGAGAGAAGTAGAACTCTATACTCCGTATCTCTTCTTGTACAAGAAGAGGGAACACAGAGAATGAGAGCATAAAAATGGTGGGAAAGAAAAAGAAAACAAGAAAGAAATAAAGAAACGAAAATAACAGATAGAAAGTGACCCTATCACAGCGCAAAAAAAAAAAAAATATATATATATATATATAGAATAAAAAAAAAGGAAAAGAAAAGAAAGAACAAAAGGAAAAAAGTTGAAGATTGTAGTGAAAATTGTTATGGATCATTATCAAATAATGTGAACAATATCCGAGCTGATAGTTTTAGGAAGAGGAAGATGAGGGTGTTTGGAGAGAGATAAAGATTGATTTTCTTTTTTTCTTTGGCGCAGAGAGAGAGAGAGAGAGAGAGACAGAGCTTATGGAGGAGTAATTTTTGATTGGTGGAAGTTAGGTTTGAGAGAAGTTGGCTTGGAGAATTGAGTGATTGCGGTGGTGGTGGTAGCGCTTGCAAAGGATGATGAAAGAGGGAAGAATTGGAGAAAGAGGAGAGAGGGTGAGTTTGGATACGAGAGGGTGGATTTGTATCTTTCTTTTGAAATTTGGAATCACAATGTAATTTTTTTAATTTTTTCCGTTTCAAATGTGACGGTAAGGGCAAAATTAATACAATTTTAAAAACATTGGAGGTAAAATTAAAATTATTCAAAGTCTGGAGATGTAATTAATCATCAAGGTAAGTATAGGGATAAAAATGACATTTTCTCTTTTCTGAAACCAAAGAAGGTGATGTTCAATTTGTGATGATTATAGTATTAAGAAGTTAAAAAGAATATAGCTTTAATATTTCATATTTTAAGCACGGTAAAAAAGAACCCCTTTTTTGTTTTTGTTTTTTTGGATTAGTATTTGTTTTTAATCGATAAATGATTGAAGCATAGAAAGTTTTTGGGGATTTTTTTTAGGGTCCTCAGTATTAAGATTTTATAGCATAAGTGACATTCAATATTTTCATAATGTCTAGGTCCCTTAACATCGATTTAGAGAAATTTCAAACCAGAAAATTTCTCTGGACTTTCCATAGAAATTCTTCCTAGAGAAATTCTCTCCAGAGAAATTCTGGACTTCTTAAAGAATTTCTCTAGGTTCAAACCAGAGAAAATTGAAATTTCTCTGAATTCAAATAAGAGAAATGCAGAGAAAATTGAATATCATAGAGAAAATTAAACAAGGCAGAGAAAATTAAACATGCCAGAGAAATTACACATGGCAAAGAAAATTACACACACGAGAGTGTTAAGTGGCAGTTCTCTCTTCTCGTCCAACTTCATTCTTCATCTTCCTAAATTCTCTGGTTTGCTTATAATTTTCTCTGTGTTTTGATCAAATCAGAGAAAATTGTGTTTTGACTCAACCAGAGAAAATTGATCAAAAAGGAACCTCAAGATCAATATATACCCAATCAATATCAAACTAGAGAAAATCCAATCAGAATCACATTTTTCATTTTTTCCCCCGTCCAATATCTGAGCAAGTAAACAAATTTGTCACGACCCAAACCTGCCCCTACAAGTTTAGTATCGTAACCAGCCAGTAATCCTCGGATTACCGAAGGCCTCTAACCTGAACAACAAAATATAAGGGGCTAGCGGAAGCAAATATAAAATATACATAGTTAATTGAGCTGTGTAGACATATATGGGAAAGAAATTTCATAAACTTTATATATACTTAGGCGTTACATCAAAATACAATAATTCACGTCACATTCATTACAGATATAACAAAAGGAAACTTAGCCCAATATACACATAAATAGAAAACTTGTTCATATTCTTAAAGAAAACAAAGTCTCAAACATGTGTGTCACAAAAAGGAATCTCCTTGGGAGGTACAACAGCTGGCTGACACGACAGAGACGCCAGGTCCCGAACTCTGAGCTTGGTCACGCACCTAGTCACCTACATACATAAATAGTAGAGTGAGCTGGAGCCTAGTGAATAATAACAAAGTAAAGATTTTAATGAATGATGTATGTAATAGATTTAGATTTCAATTTTCTTATCAAAACAGAAACATAGGCATATTCGTATAAGAAATAGAGTCATAGTCATATTCATATTCAAATCATGCGTGGGATATCCATTAGCTTTATCGTATCTCTTTGGACAAGCATATCAAGTTTCATAATGGAACCTCTGGTACTGAGTGTTTTATCACATACGTAAGCCATGGTATTGTTTCCCCCGGGCGAGGGCCTATGCCACGGTATTATTTTCCCGAGCGAGGGCCTCATAACCATAAGCCACAATATTATGTCCCCTGGGCGAGGGCCTCTACTAAGGATACCACAATTACATTTCAAAGAAAATTGGGCAATCATTCATTCATACAGAGCATAGCATTTCAGAAAACTAATCATTTCATATAATTAGAAAATAATTAAAGTCAAACATAACTTTACAGAGTTATTACTCACAAATAGTTTCACAAATAGCTTTGATAGCAACCAATGGATCAACAACTCCGCGTGACCTACACTAACATAACAGATACACAAATTGAGACACACGCTTGAATTGTACTTAACTTATTTTATTTCATTCTTAGTGTGTTTCTAAGTTTTATCCTGATTATTGTGTCTTAATCATGGCCTAGGAATGGCCTAGGAATGTTTAGGATGCAATGAGGATGCCAAAATGCACTTAAAAACACTTAATCAGATATGCTGAAAATATGGGCCTTGCTCGAGCGAACCTTCCATCGCTCGAGCGGATGCTAAAAAATGTGGGTGGTCGCTCGAACGCAACCTCCTTCGCTCGAACGGTCTATAAACTCTACAAAAGTACTGGTTGCTTGATTTTTTCGCTCGACGCACGCTCGACAGTCGTTCGAGCATGAGACTGAGGTCCTCGCTCGAGCGCAACTCTTGTCGCTCGAGCGATCTGTAATAATGGTAAACTTCTGGGAGCATGCACTTTATGCTTGAGCTAACTTTTGGTCGCTCGAGCGGAGGTGCATAACATAGAGTGGTCACTCAAGTGCAGGATTTGTCGCTCGAGCGTAGAAGCGAAATTCTGGAATTTCCAGATTTGCATCTAAGCTTCAAACTCAAACTCAAAGCTGAAAATCAAGTTCTCTTGGGCCTAAAACTTAAGGAAAATTGTGTAAACTTGTCAAACATCAAGAATTCAAAATCAAAGCCCAAAAGCACGTCAATTGTGCAAAACGAAACTCAAATCTTTGAAAACATAACATGCATGTTTTGCCTTGACTTCAAAACTGCCAAAGCATGATCATTTGGTATAAAATGATATCAAACAAGATGAATTCTCAAAATAAAATTAAGATGGACACATGCATGAGAGAATTCTTTGAAATCAAACTCAAATTGTAATGAGATGGATATGCATGCATAGTATGATCTATATTCTTTTATTGTAGCTCAATCCTAGCATTACACAACTTAATTCTTTGGATTCATGTGCTAAGTGATTCAATTCCAAAGTTACAAGGTTGAATTCTTACCTTAGATGATCAATTATATTCTAAAAAGTTAATTGTTTGAAGTTCCAAGCCAACCTCCAAGTTCTCTAGCAATACTCCTAATTTGAACTCAATTCTTTCCTTTCTCTGTCTCACACGTTTTAAGCTCAAGGATGAGGGGGTGAGAGTGTGTAATTTGAGTGTCTTGAGTCATACTAGCCTTATATAGGCTTGATCAAGAGTTGGCTAATTAAACTTTAATTAGTCTTAGAAATGACTATTAATTATTCTAATTTAATTTGTTCTGAATCGAATTTCAATAAAACCTACCATAAAATTCTAAAAATCCCAAATAACACATAAATCAAGTCAATTTCACGTTCGGATGCTGATAAGGCCTTTAATTCACAGAACAAAATATAAACATGAACAAATATTCCTACAATAGACAGTTATAAATACAAATAATGCAACACACATGCAATTAATTAAGGGGTAATGCTAGGGACACCAAATTTTCTACCAAACAAATGACCAAATGTCTCACATGGGTGTGGGGTCCGCAATTTTGTGGGCCCCACACCCATGTGAGACATTTGGTCATTTATTTGGTAGAAAACTTGGGACCTCTAGCATTTTCCTTAATTAAGAATTTCATCTTCATTACTTGTTAGGCATCTTTAATCATGGTTTAGCAGTTAATCATAGGTCGAGGTTGTTAGAAAATTAATAGAGAAACTGAGCAACTAAATATCAAAAAGGAACCAATACATCCCTCAGTTTTCTAGAAAAAATTCATAGTGAACAACCAGAGAAAATTCACATAGTGGCTAAAATCTAGAGAACATTCACACAATAACTAAATCCAGAGAAAATTCACATATAATCTGCATAAACCCCAGTGTCTCTGAGTGAACAATCACCACTCTCATCATCTCCAAACTCTCTCTCTTTTCTAGAAAAAATTCACAGTGAACAACCAGAGAAAATTCACACAGTGGCCAAAATTCAAAGAAAATTTATACAGTGGCTAAATCCAGAGAAAATTCACACAATGGCCAAAATCTAGAGAAAATTCACACAGTGGCTAAATCTAGAGAAAATTCACATATAATCTACATAAACCCCAGAGTCTTTGAGTGAACAATCACCACTCTCATCATCTCCAAACTCTCTCTCTCTTTATTGTTTTTAGCGTTTTTACTCTCTTTCTCTTTCATTTCCTTTTGATTTATTCTCATTGTTCTTATCAAATGGAAGAAGCAATGAGAATGCTAAATGGTCTGACCCACACACCAGAATCTGACCCACTCCACCCCACCACCACCACCCTAAAAAGGCCGACCGCCACCACCGTCGCCACCAACAAAAGGTCACTGAAAGACGGAGTCGCTGCCACCGCCGCCAACCCAATGAGGTACCGCGGGCTGCACTGTCCCTGGGGTCGTTATGCCACCAAGATTCAAGACCCTCAGTCCAAAGAGCAGTGGTGGCTCGATACCTTTGACATGGTGGAGGAGGCAGCGAGAGATGCATGGAGTCAAGGTGAGAACCAACTATGTTTACCCATCTTCACCTCCTCACTCAGTCACTGACAATCTCATCCCTCCATTTCACTACAAGAAATCATCTCAGTCCTCCATGAGAGACATACCCAAGCGAAGCTTTGCTCCTCCTCCTCCTTCTTATGTCGGTGACTTCTCTGGTGCTTTTCTCAACACGTTTCTCTTGCCTCAAACTATGTCTATTTACGATCAAATTCCATATATTGATCACTCTGGTGCTCAATCACATACTTGGTCTCTCTCTGTTTTGTTCTTCTAATGTCTCTGTGAGCTTTGTAGGTTCGTTTCTCACTCAACCCAAAATCGAAGATCATCAAAAGGGAGAGAAAGAGAGAGAGAGAAAGAGGGAGGGTTTAGAGTGTGCGTGTGTGTGTGTGTGTGTGTGTGTGTGTGAGAGAGAGAGAGAGAGAGAGAGAGATGAGATTTGATTTGCAAGAATCAAATTTTTCTGTGATATATGAGTGTGGGATTGAGGGACCTTAGATATTATAAAATAACATTGTGGATCTCTTCCATTACTAAAAATGGAAGAGGGATCTTAGACTAATTTTTCCAAAGTTTTTCTATGTACACAAAAAAAAACTAAAGAAACCTTATAAAAAAATTTTAACATATATATATTTAACAAATTAATTCATTGATTTTTAAATTTGAAGAAAATAAAAATACCTTTGACTATTCTATATATCTATCTTGTGTGCTATATAAATATTTGTTTTTAAAAGCAAGATTTTTGGGAGTTCCAAAAACTCAAATAATTTTCTTTTTAATTTTTATATTTTTAAAATATGAAAAAATGAAAGTAACTTATATCAATTGTTTTATTTAATAAATTTTAAAATTTAAATTTGCACATGTGGCACAATTCAATTGGATCAAACATTAACTATAATTCAATCATAATCTTTCGCTAAATAATCCTATTGCTTAATATTTTAAGATGAATAATTAATTTACTAAAATTTATAAATTTACTAAATATATTATATTTATAATAATTTTCCTAGCTCGGTTTCATGCTAGTATTAGATTATATGAAAAATATTATAAAAAAAAATACATTCATTAACAGACCCCTAAAAAAAAAAATGTTTTACAGTTATCTATATAACAATGGAAGGGTTAGTTTGAAAATGTCTTTTAAATTAATGGTTCAGATTTGTCTAATTTAAAACCAATGGCTCAGATTTACTTTTAAAAATATCTCTCTTACAAACTATCTTCAATGGTCAAGATTTGTCTAATTTAAAAATAATGATTGAGATTCAAAAGAGATTCCATGGTCTAGATTTATCGAAGAAATAAGATTCAGTGGTCCAGATTTGTTTAACTATCAACTCTTACTTACCCACTGCACTTTACATCATCACTGTGAGCTCTCTCAATAAGGAAGCTCTGAAGAACAATCAAAATCTTTGTATTCAAAAGAGATTCAAGCTTTGTATTCGATAAGGAGGAACAAAGCTCTCTCAATAAGGAAGAACAAAGCTCTTTGCATTTCTTTTCATTTTTTCTCCACTGTCACTAGGTAAGGCACTATTATCTCCTCTTTTCGTTTTGTTTTCCCATTCATTTTTTGATCTCTTTTTTTTTTTTTTTTTTTTTTTTATTTTTTGTCATCCCCACCCATTGTTTTTTGCTAGCTCGTAACTCTTTGTTAACACTCATTGTTTTTTTCAGTCAAATGGGTTAAGAATCTGAAGAAATATGTATATATATATTGTGTGTTTTGTTCTTAGTTCTTTTTTTGGTTCTATTAAGGAAAAATGAGTTTCATGTTAACAATCATTTTTCTTTCATCTTAATGGGTTGAGTTTTCAAAAAAAAAACTCTGAGTTAATGTTAACATTAATTGGGCTGAGGATCTCTATAATATTCAATGGGGTTTTAACACTCACTTCTCTCGCTCTATCAAATGGGAGTTAAGGAAAAATGGGCTTCATGTTTCAAATAAGGGTTAAGGAAAAATGGATTTCATGTTAACAATCATTTTTATTTCATGATAATGGGTTGAGGGTCCAAAAAAATTCTGAGTTAATGTGAACATTAATTGGGTTGAGGTTCTGTTTAATAATCAATGCGGTTTTAACATTCACTTCTCTCTCTCTCTCTCTATCAAATGGGAGTTAAGGAAGAATGGGTTGCATATTAACAATCATTATTATTTCACCTTAGTCGAATCGGTTGAGGCTCTCTTTAATCATCAATGGTCATATTTTTACTCACCAAACATGAAAATAGATTCGCATACATTTTTTGTGTTGAGAGTTCTCTTAATAAATGTTAACATTAATTGGGTTGAGGTTCTCTTTAATAATCAATGGGTTTTAACACCCCTCTCTCTCTCTCTCTCTATCAAATGGGGATTAAGGAAAAATGAGTTTCATGTTAATAGTCATTTTTATTTCATTTTAGTCATATGGGTTAAAGTTCTCTTTAATCATCAATTGTCATATTTTTACTCATCAAACATGAAAATAAATTCGTAAACATTTTTAGTGTTGAGAAGTGCTCGTAATTAATGTTAACATTAATTAGGTTGAGATTCTCTTTAATAATCAATATGATTTTAACACCCACTTCTCTCTCTCTATTAAATGGGGGTTAAGGAAAATTGAGTTTCATGTTAACAATTATTTTTATTTCGTCTTAGTTAAATGGGTTGAGGCTTTCTTTAATCATCAGTAGTGATATTTTTACTCGCCAAACATGAAAGTAGATTCATATACATGAAAAATGGGTTTCATGTTAAAAATCATTTTTATTTCATCTTAATGGGTTGAAATTCCAAAAAAACTGTGAAAAAAAAAAAAAAAAAAAAAAAAAAAAAACTCTGAGTTAATGTTAATATTAATTGGGTTGAGGTTCTCTTTAATAATCAATGGGGTTTTAACACCCACTTCTCTCTCTCTCTCTATCAAATAGGGGTTAAGGGAAAATGGGTTTCATGTTTCAAATGAGGGTTAAGGAAAAATGGGTTTCATGTCAACAATCATTTTTATTTCATCATCTTAATGGGTTGAGGTTCCAAAAAAAACTTTGAGTTAATGTTAACATTAATTGAATTGATATTCTCTTTAATAATCAATGGGGGTTTAACACCACTTCTCTCTCTCTCTCTCTCTCTCAAATGGGGGTTAAGGAAAAATGGATTTTATGTTAACAATTATTTTTATTTCATGTTAGTCAAATGGGTTGAGGCTCTCTTTAATCATCAATGGTCATATTTTTACTCACCAAACATGAAAATAGATTCGTATACATTTTTGGAGTGCTCTTAATTCACTACAAGAAATAACACTTTTAGCGACCAACTTTTTGGTCGCAGAAAGATCATATCTAGTCGTTGATGGTTTTTAACGACCAAAACAAGTTGTTTGTAATTTAGTTGCTAAAAGCCCGTCACAGATGGTTTTTTGGCGACCAAAGCTGAAGTTGTTTGCTGAAAGTAAGCATTCGTTGTTCATTTTGCGACCAAAAATCTAATTGCTGAAAGGTAACAATTGCGACCACCGATTTTAGTCGCTGAAAAGTGGTTTTTGGCGACCAAACTTAGCTTAGTCACGGAAAGTTCTCATTTAGCGACGACATATTTTGGTTGCTAGAAGTCAATTACAACAAGCTTCTCATAGACCTATTGCGACTAAAATTTTATTGGTCGCAAAAAAAAATTCAATTTTAAACATCATTTTTGTCAATGTAATGTTAATTTTTTTTTTTTTTTGTAATACTTGTAATACATTTACAATTAATGCATAATTCATGTCCATCCAATTAATTTCAACATAATCCAATCTACAAACAAAAACCCATTGAAAGGAAGTCAAAATAATAATTAATCTATCTAATTACTATCACCTGTCAATATGAACACATTAATATTTGACAAAATAACCATCTATCCATCCATTTAGTTAATAAAATAACCATCCATCCATCCACCCATCCGTCCGTCCGTCCATTTAGTTTACAAAATAACCATCCATTCATCGATTTAGTTTACAATTAATTCACTAAATCAAAAACATATTTAACAAAACCATCAAAGATTTCAAAAATCATTCATATCCAAGTGCGTGTCATATTTGTCTGATGTGAAATATATCAAAAACTCCACATATAAGCACAACTTAGAATTAATGCACCGACAAACTCATGTACGTAAACACGCATGACTACACCCCTAGCTACCTGCAATAAATAAATAAATAAATGAAGAAAGCGTTGTTAATAATAATATTTTTGCTTACATTTCTATTTAATTTTGTAACATTTTGTGGATCTAATTCCACTCCCAAACTAACAATCACATGACCAGAGCATGATGAAATTTCGACTCCATTTTTTTTTCTTTCAAATAGCATGAAACTACATAAAATGATATAAAATCACACCACCATCTTATATAGAATATATTTACAATTATCATGAATGTCTCAACTATGATTTTTCTAAATCTTTACTTGTTATTTTTTTTTTCTTTTTCATGATCTTATGGTGGAGGTGTTGGGAGTTATAGAAGGGTTGAAAGAGTGAGAGCACGAGAAGGAGGCAATGGTTGGTGGAGGAGAATGGGTAGTGGCTAGGTGGCAGTTGGTGGTGGAGAAGAAGGGTGGTTGTGGTTGAAATTAGGCATGTTCCCAGTGTATGCAATACAACAATTCCCAGTGCATGCATTGGCTTCATTAACTTGTTAAATGAAACCATCTCAAAGTTCACTTCATGTTTTGGTGGAACCAAAAGGATCCCATTCCTACAGATCAGGTTGTCTTTGCTCACTGAATCAACTAATTCTATTCCTGCAGACTATCTAGATTGCACCTTACATATATCCCTCATGCACGTCTATAAAGAAGGGGTCTAAAACACTGCTAGCATTAAACACTCAATAAAATAATCCAACTAAATTCCCATCAAGAAAAATCAACAATTAACCTAATAAAAAATTATGGAACAATTGAGAAAGTATAGTACACCAACTGGAGTTTTGAGAAAATGCATTCAATGAAAAGGCAATGATGGAAAGGGAGAGAGATATTGAAAAGTTAAGTAACCCATATTTTTTGCAGGCAGAAATTTTAAGAGATAAACAACAATTTAATATTTTAAAGAAATATTACCTATCTGTTGGGCTGAAGAACCACTTTATTTTGTCACAAAGTATTTCACTCAGCTCAGTAAGTTAGAAGTTTGGCAAGACAATAAATTTGATCACCGCAAATTGGGTGAGAACCAGAGAAAGGAAAGCGACACTCCACG